TGGCATCTCCAACATCCATACCAGACCCTTATCCCAAGATAGGGGTCTGGTATGGATTTTAGGGAACATCTTACACAATAAAAAACAAACAGGGTTCCCCCCTTCACATTAGAGTTTCCCCTTCAAATCAAGAGTCTCCCTTCAAATCAAGAGTCTCCCTTCACATCAGACTGCCCCCTTTCACATCATAATCTTGCCTTTCAAATCAGAGTCCACCCTCTCACACTAGGAGCCCTCCTTCAAATCAAATCCCTCACCTTTCACACCAGAGTCCACCCTCTCACACTAGAAACCCCCTTCATATCAAAGCCCCCAGCTTTCACATCAGAGTCCACTCTCTCACACTTGGAGCCCTCCTTTAAATCAAAGCCCCTAGCTTTCACATGAGAGTCCACCCTCTCACACTAGGAGCCCCCTTCATATTAAAGCGCCCTCCCTTCACATCAGAGTTTTCCTTCACATCGAAAAGCCTGCCTGCCCCATGTAAAGTAATGACGCTGTGTGAAAATTTCAAGGCACCCCTGAGGAAGACAGAAGGCAAATTTAGGGTGCCACAGCTGCTTTAGATAAATGTTTGGAGTGAATATTTATGCAGGAGTCCCACTGCATTTTCTAAAGGGTTAAAATAAATCCAACAGGGCCGAGACTTTTCCGCAGGTAGTAGGACTTGGATCTTCATGGCAGAGGTCTTGCCACTCGATCCCCTGAAAGCTATATTAAAATTTTATGGGCAGTTATATGCTCTGGTGCCTATTCGCCATGCCCCCCTCCGCCCCCACTTTGTTCAAATCTCAGTTTCTCACTCACACACTTTTTTTCTTTTTCTCTTACTTCCTTTTTTTTTTTTTTTTTTTTTTTTTTACTTTACAGTGTGTTCTCATAAAGAAGTCTTGCTGAAATGGTAATCCACCGGGGTGATTGTGATTTGAGCTTTAATCCTCACAAAGGGCACAAACTTTTCATGCTGGGGAAAAATACATAAATGCAGTATAGGCCAAACTTCAACACTTATCATAGATTATTTGCCTGGACTAGTGCTTGGAATGTTTTATCTCAGAGCTAAAGGTTTGCTTTCCAACTATTGGCAGGACACCAAGACCAAGAAATAAAGCCAGGGAGCTCTGTCGCCTACATATATTATCAAAAGCATGTGTCAATGTGCTTTACATTTTCACAGTCCTGTGTTGTCCGGGGCTTGACATGATTATGCACTTGCAGGCCAAATTCTCATAAAGCATATCCATCATTGGCCAAACTTATTTCCATTCCCCATGAGATAGTGTCATTGGCTGAACTTATCATATCCGTTCCCTATGAGATTGCGTCTTCACTGTGACATGATCGTCAAAAAAATGATCTAAAGTCATTGAACTTTATTGATAGCAGTAGATGTTTGAAGCCCAACTCCAGCCAAACCTCTGGTTAGATTTATAGTGTCTCTCTGTGTCTCTGTGGAGGAGGCTTCAACAGATTTCTAACCCTTCTACACACAAGTTATAAAAAGGTTTTTTTATTGCACTCTGCATCTCTCTTGCAGAGAGTTCCCCTCTACTTCTGCCTCCGTCATCAGGACAGGAAGTGCAGGACTCCAGCACTGGTACAGACACAAATGTAGAGTAGGAAAGGGTATGGGTATTTGTATTTATCACAGTAAAATACCACAGTAACAAAAATCTTTTGTAGTAGGGTGAAGTTTTATCCCTCTTTCTTCACTTTCTGTCCTGGTGACACATTGTGTGATGCATTGTCCTAAGTAGGGGAAGTGTAGTGAAGAATTCCCATTGGGAACACAAACCTGAAAGGAACCCGAAAGTTCCATACCTTTTCCATTTTATCCAAAGTGAATGTCAGATAAATAATTCCGTTGCTCCATCTCCGTGTTTGTCATTGTTTTTCTATTTTTTCTTTATCTGCTGAGACCAAGGTGATATCCTAGTACAGAATGCACGATGTGCAAGTTAAGGAGATACTTCTGGCAAAAAACTTCACCCGGGATTCACACATTTGAATTTTATGTGACGTCATAAACAGGTCCAGATTGGAAGTCTTGTAGTTCTTTGCGCTAAACATGGTTCTGCTCAGTAAGCATTACAGCCTCAGTAGGCCATTTTCACCTTATGACCCACCATGCTTCATATGCCAAGTACAGACTCTTCCAGTGATACATACAGCCAGAGTGTAATTCAGACTTGCAGTGCCAGTGGTTGGTGGTGCTAAGCTTCACTACGTGTTTCCAGTTTGAGCTTGTAGAATAATCTCATGAGTGTGGCTTGAAAATTGTTTGCTAGGTGGCCATGATGAAGGATGGCACCTGAATTCTAGTCAATGGAGATGTTCCATATTTGTTCAGAGATTCCATAAAGTGGAACCAGAATCATATAAAGAAGATCTCACATACTGTGGTATTTTCTTATCTGTAGTGGGTACAGAGTATAGGAGTGGATCCAGGCCGGGCAGCACATCCCGGTCTGTAGTAGGTACAGGTAGAGGTGTTTTAAATCTTTGGAGCAATTTCTCCTGTCTGGGACAGATTCTGAGGTGTATGACATACTATCCTTGGAAAGAATTCATGAGTAGGACCAGACCTCTGTAATACAGTGGGGTGAATTTATCAAAACTGGAGCAGAAAGAATCTGGAGCAGTTTCCCGTGGCATCCAATCAGCATCTCTCTTCAGTTTGCTCAGGTAAGAGTTGAAAATGAGACAATGAAGCTGATTGGTTGCAGTGCAAATCTGCTCCAGATTTTGTCTGTTCCAGTTTTTATAAATTCCCCCCATATGCATCTGTCAGAACTACGGTGAACATATATGTTTATTGGGATCAAGAAGTGAGGATCGCTGATATGAGGATAAGAGAATTAGACGTTTTTAAGTGCTGCACTTTTATGAACTTTGATCTTTTGGTCTTTACTGAGGTAGAGGACTGTGGGGAATGAATATCATAAATCTGTTAAGAAGTAGGTGCTGACTTGACTACTCTTCGTGAACACTCTGACTGCATGACTCTGCCTGAACACTCTCTGACTGGACAACGCTGCCTGAACACTCCCTAAGCCTGCATTCACACCTGAGCGACATGAAAAATGCGCAATTTCAGTGCGATTTTGTGAGCAGGTGCTGACACATTGATGTGAATGGGCAAATGCCCATTTTTTTGTTTTTTTTAACATTCCCATTGAAGTCTACGGGGCCAAGAAGTACAGAATCTGCTGAAAAGAAGCTCATGTGCCTTCTTCAAGTGAAATTTTTTTGGTGCGTTTTTTTCAGGCAGAAAAAGCGCTACAAAACGCTCAGTGGGAATGAGGGCTGACTGGACAAATCTGCCTGAACACTCTGCTGACCCCAGACCCTGGAAATCCTTCACTTTAGCATAGACCACAATGGCTCATCATGTGATTTTTGGAATCGCATTAGCCCAGCAATCCAGTCATGTAGTTTTGTAGTCACATGACCCGCTGCGAGACCAATGCGGAATTCCCATTATTTCATAAGATGGTACGTTATAACCTGTTCCTGCAATGAGCCTTTATTTTCACTTTATCGAGATTCTTGTTTCCCATCACTGCTAGAGCATTACACACATTGAGAAACTGTGATCCTCGGTGACCAGAAAGCTCGCTGTGTACACAAGCTTCCTTTTTGTGTTTTTTTTTTTATTTTTTATTTGTCTGCCGATAGTAATATTGTTACAAAGTATTTCACGGCTCTCGTTGTCTGGCATACAAGTGCACTGTGGTCAGATGCCTGTGCCAGTCATTTACCGGAATCTCAAACAACACAGTTACAGTATCTCATTCCCCCTACTGTTCTCTGTTTCCATTTAGCGGCTGCAGTAAATATTTGTTGCGTCATTAAGATAAAGTTAGGCAGTTTACAGCAAGGGAATTGTTGTTGTTGCTTTTAGCAGTCACTGTTTTCGACTCGTGTTCGAAATGCTTGTATGCGATTTTTTCATAGTTACATAGGTTGAAAAAAAAGATACATGTCCATCGAGTTCAACCTGTAAAGATTCAAATCTTAGAAGTATTTTTTGGTAGTTTTGTCATTTTCAGGGCTTGAAAAATCCGCTCGTCCTCTCATCTATGACAAGAGGACGCCGGAGCCCGACGAGGAGCTTTACATTCAAGCGATCGGGCGTCTCTAGAGACACCCGATCGCTTGTATTAGCAGTAGCTGTCACTGCCGTTGCCGGTCCCGAGATCCGATGTGCCCGGCGCAGCTGCTCTGTGAAAGGAGATCAAAGGGAGATTGGTACACGATCTCCCTCTGAACTCCTCTCCAGTCCCCGAATGCAGGAAGTGATGTATATTATATCACTTCCACATTCAGCTGTCACTCTCCAGCTTCAGAAGCTGGGGAGAAGCTGGTGAAGTAGATCTCTGCTTCATCAGCTTCTCTGGGAGTCTCTAGGTGACTTTAGGGGTCTTGGACACCCCTAATATCTCCAAAAAGAGGACCTGTTATGTAAATTGGCTATCACATATTGCTATTTTGCAAGTCTCTGCCCTATGTAAAATGGGAAAGGGACCTTGAAGCCACATACACTATGCATCAGTGGAGTAAAGCACTTACCTATTTATACTCCACTTCGAGCTGTGTTAACCTTTGGGAATTTTCACAAAAAATGATGTTACGGTGGTATCTCACTCCATATAGTCTTGCAAAATTCTCTGCTGATACCTCTGACTTGTGCTGGAGAGAGTGTCACAGGAAGCTGTCACAGGTCGGATCCATCGATTGGGAAGTGAGCAGAAACATGCATCGATCTGCTCACTTCCCGATCCTCTCCCTGCAGTGAGCGGTGACTGTCTCCAGTGCAACACCTCAAACTATCCCTGCCAGCTGTTGTTGTGAATTTGTACTTCTTTCTCTTATTTTCCTCAAAGTTTTAATGTTAATAATGATGAATAATGAAGGATGAGATGATATGTTCCCTGTTTTTGACTAACATAATTGTATATGGTAAAATTGCTCACAAGTCCATTTGATTTGTTTTGCAGGTCTGATTATGATGACTGGAGGCCAGCTCTGGCAAGTCTGCTGCAACCCATCCCATTTCCCAAAGAGTGAGTACATATGCGAGATGCATATTATGTGTACAGCGGAAGGGCTTATTTTGTTGGTCAGTCAGGTGTTACATGTCAAGAAAATGCTTGCCTCTTTTGTATGCAAGTTTTCTCTTGGTTAGGCCTTCTAATAAGATTCTAAATTAAACTTACAATTTGCAGGTTACATTATCTTGAGCTTGCTATACATGGCTAGATTTTCTCTTGTGTAGCCCCCACAGTCCGAGGAAGAGAAATCGCTTGATTCCCCCATTCATGCTAAACAGCATGGATGGAGGAATCTCTACCTACCCGCTATTGGATTCAGACAGACAGCTGTCTGAATACCTGAACAGTGACGGCATCTGATTGGGTGTACAGTAGATGTTGTATTTGAAGCACCAAACCAATTAAAATAGTCCAGATATAACTCTATTCCATTAGGGTCAGGGGATATTCAAGTACAGTGTCTTATAGCCCGACAGTGTCTTAAGCCTGCTGTAGAGGGACCTTTCTTCTATAGTCCCATTGAAATCTAGAGGTGGAACATTGACTGCTTGTGACATTGAGATTAGGGATGCACCGATATATATCGCCCATTGAAACATATTGACCAAAAATGGGCGCTGCTCTGTGTCCCAGCAGGAAGGAGAGAAACTGTCACAGGAGGCCGAGCGCTGCGGGTGGAGAGTGCTGTGAGCGGCCAGTTTCTCTCCTTCTCGCACCGATCAGCTTCCTGTCACAGATCAGGAGAGCGGAGGTGTGGGTGGAGACGGCCATTGCTGTCACAGGAGGCTGAGCTTTTTCCTCCTTCACCACCCCGCCCAGCCTCCTGTGACAGCGTGTCAGGATGGTGAGTGGGTACAAACACTGAGTGTTTGTGAATAATTGAGGGCAAAGTATGTTTACTATGTCCCCAATTATGAATGAATGGGAAGTGATGTACATCACTTCCTGTGCATTCATGATTGGCTGTGACTACAATAGGAAAGGATTTTTGCAGAAATGTAAGAAGTTGCATCCATGTAGTAGCCTGAATGTTGTCTCAAATTTGATTTGGATTATGTGCTACCACACCCCCTACTATAAAACCTATTTTGTCTGTGTTGCTGTTGCAAATTTCCCCTCACTTCCTGTCTGATATAATTGTTGTACCCAGCACAGTAAATGAGGGGACGCTCTTTAACATTATCCTGGATTGCAGTAAAAAAAACCTAACCGGGGTTCCAATCCTTTCCCACTCTATCCAGAACTAAAACAAACAAAAAAAGTTTGGGCTGAACGTGCACTTTAAATGTTAAAGAGCTGCCTATAGATGCTATTAAAGAACATACCGTCAAGAGCATGTCAACATATTTTGGTAGAGAAGAAGCTGACGTGTTGCCTTTGGAACAACCTGAGTCCTTGAGGAGCTGACTAATGAGCGTTTGTGTTTGAAAAAAATAAAGTACACACCATAGAGAATAAAAATTATCAGCCGTAATAGCCCCATTTATCAACCCACTTCACCCAGGGGGCTCTGTTAGTTGTGCGTGTGGATCATCTCCTGCACAGGAGTTCAAGTGGTTGGCTTTGAAAACAGACTGGCGTCATTTGGCCAAATTTGTCTTTCAGTAGCTCTCGTAGGAATGCATTATTCCACTGCCAATGATGCAACCTAGCTTGCACGGTGACCCGTAATTGCTTTGTCACTCTCATTAATGGTGATGTGACCAAGGCTTAATTAAGTCACTTGGGTTCTCTCGCAAAACAAAAGTATGTGACAGAAGAAAGTTTAAATGGGTGTTTGTGTGTGGTCAGAGCTTCATAATAGAATAGAATAAACAGAGAGACGAAAACAGGACGGGTCACCTGACAGTAAATTTCCATAGACGTGATGCTTAAGGCGTTCTATATTATGATTTTTATCTCGTATATCTCCCATGTCTTCTCTCTACCACTTTTAAGACTGCTGTATGTCATTTTGAGAGTTTTTTTTCTAGGTTAACTGTAGACTTATCTTATCCCTTTTAATGATTAAAAGATACATTTATAATATGATGCAGAATGCAGCTCCTGTTTTGTGCAGTGTTTAAATTATCCCTGCATGTGGGTGAGCAAGCAACTCAAGCAGACCAGTGTCATCTGTCATAAAACCCAATCACAGTCAAAACAGATGTTTTAAATACAGAGGTTATAAGTCAGAACTTCTGCCAAGTTTTTATTGCTGCCTGTGCCCTTATTGGGTAGATTAATTGTGCCAGTGACATCAGCAGAAGAAATTAGAGAGTGTGGGTGTCACCGAGACAGACACAGAGCAATACAAATCTGATAGATTCTAACCCCTCACCTTACTGAATAAATGTGTTTTTCTTACTGAAATCCCATCACTTCCTGTCCTGGTGACATACTGGCCACCGGGACAAGAAGTAAGGTTAAATCTTTCCAATGGGGAGGCCCCCAATTGTCCTTTATTCCAAGAGACATACCTTATAGTTCATTGCTGTTTCTCACATGTAAGCAATAAATTGGTGTTGGCTATCCTTGTGCGTCTCATAGTTTTGGAACAGAGACGGGATAGATTGGGTAGATTGAGGTTTACTAGCGTAAATAATCTCAAATACTATCATTGTAGCTTTATTTGTGCCTCATCCTAACCTAGTGTGTGTTTGATTTTTCTTTGCAGAGCTCTTGCCCATGAAACATTCACAAAGTAAGTATATAAATTAGATTTAATGATTGTAATCTAATAAAATGTTAAGAATGAAAATCCAAGACAAATTAGGCTTTGCTACCCCAGGGATTTTAAATTAAGTCACATGACCAAGATTAGCCCCTGTACCCTTTTAATTGATTGAGTTTTGTAACCAAAAGTAAACCTGTCCCTAGCCTGGGCGATGTATGAAAAGCATGCAATGAAAAAAATGAATGGGTTATCCTATTGAACAATGCATGCCAAAATGATCTGTGGATGTAGGTAGCTGAAGTTTTAGCCAGTTCTTGACTTTTACTTTAAAGTGTATTTCCACTTTTGCAGTCAAACTTGAGAAAACCCCTCAATATGTTTGTTATGTGATCCTTTTCAACCAGCATAAAGAATAAAAATACAAAAAAAGTTCTTACATTTTAGATGTTTTGTTATAGCAGGCAAGATGGCCAATTCCAGGTGTTTCTCAGCACCTTCACAGTTATCTGTCCTAATGGAAAGGCTTAGGACTGAAATTTGAGGATTGCGTTTCTCTCATTCACTCAATTAACATTAAATGAACAAAACCACCTCAGACCCCTCACCGCCTCTCCTAACATTGCAAAGAAGGATTAGCAAGTAGAAATGTTACCCTTAACACTTTACCCCAAATAAAACCAGTTTAAATGCTACATGAATGGGAACATGTAACAAATATAAAATAGATGTTATCCCAATTTGGCTGCAAAAGTGAAAATACGCTTTAAATGGTGGGCTTGATTTTGCCTCTTGCTGCCTTCTAAACCTCCCTATTGTTAATTGGGCTGCCCATTAGATTGAAGGCCCAACAGGGAGGTTCAGGTGATGGAAAGGGTAGTGTCAGACTCGGCTTGTATGAGAAGTGAAGATTTGCATGTTTTGTGAGCCTTTAACTTCCTGTGAACTGATAATATAGCTGAAATCCCAAGTAGTTCAGACAGGAAATGAAGGTAGGCTCAAGATGGCTACTGCAGCTTTAAAGGGTGATATGGTAAAGGGGTGATATTGGAAATATGGGAAAGGGGTGATATTGGAAATATGGGAAAGGGGTGATAATTGAAATATGGGAAAGGGGTGATAATGGAAATATGGGAAAGGGGCGATATTGGAAATATTGGAAAGGGGTTGTATTGGAAATATGGGAAAGGGGTTGTATTGGAAATATGGGAAAGGGGTTGTATTGTAAATTTGGGAAAGGGGTTGTATTGGAAATATGGGAAAGGGGTTTTGGGAAAGGGGTGATAATTGAAATATGGGAAAGGGGTGATAATTGAAATATGGGAAAGGGGCGATATTGGAAATATGGGAAAGGGGTTGTATTGGAAATATGGGAAAGGGGTTGTATTGGAAATATGGGAAAGGGGTTGTATTGGAAATATGGGAAAGGGGTTGTATTGGAAATATGGGAAAGGGGTTGTATTGGAAATATGGGAAAGGGGTGGTGTTGGAAATATCGGAAAGGGGGGATGTTGGAAATATCGGAAAGGGGTGATATTGGAAATATCGGAAAGGGGTGATACTGAAAATTCAAGTCTACAGGGAATTGAGAGTATTCAATTTCAACACAGGAGAGGACTTGCTACAACCCTCTGGATTCTCTGCTTTAATCCTTTCACACTCAGTGACCCAGGTCATGTCTGTATAATCGCTGTAGAACTTGCCAGCTGAGCTTGCTCACTAACTAACCTGTATGTTTTTTTCATCCTGCCCATGCAGGGAGCTGAAATACGTCATTCAGAGATTTGCAGAGGACCCCAGGCAAGAGGTAAGAATTTCCCTTGGGGGGAAGAAATGCTGCAGAGAAAGAAATGACTTATCTTGTTAAAGGTTATTGTGGTGCCGCTGAGAGGAAAGAGCTTGTTTTGCTTTGCGTGTATTATCAAGTGTGTTAAAGACACCAGTTAGTTAGTAGAGCTAGGTAGTACCATTACAAAATATTGTGTAAATGTCTGTATACCTGTTCAGTGCTTGAAATGGTCATCATTATGTGATTGGATGTCAAGCAGGCAGTTTACTTGAAAGTGGTATGTTAGTTACAAGTGGAGCGTGGTGGGCTATGTTAGCCCTTGGCTTTTTAGATGTCTTGGATGCTCTAAGGCAGGGGTAGCCAAACTTCAGACCTCCAGCTGTGGTAAATCTACAAATCCCATCATGCATCTGCTTCTGGGAGTCGTACCTGTGGCTATATTTTATGCCTTATGGACCCTGTATGTTCAACAACAGCTGGATGGCTGATGTTTAGATACCCCTGCTGTATGACCCCTTTACACAGGTGAACTATAATGCCCCTCTCACTTTTCAGAGGCAGTTGAGGGGTGGTTTGCAGTGGTTCAAGAAGCGATACTACCACCTCCTGAATGCTTTTTTTTTCTGGTCCAAAAAGGGATTTTACTTTGAAATCCCACGCCACATCCGAAAGCATTTGGCATGCAGTTGCAGTGCAGTCCCATTGACTTTGAATAGGTTTGTTTGGCAAGCGGCACAGCCTGGCAAACGTGACTTGCCGAGTTAAATTTGCAACACTGCAAAGGGAAGCATTGCTACTGAGGCAATGTATATAGACATGAGCGCCCACCATGGTAAATTATAGGTGGGTGGAGGTGGTAAAAAGACGGATTAACCGCCTGTTGTTACCGCACATTAGCTGCCCGTGTGAACTTGGCCTTACAGTGAGATCTCCCTGCTATAATTCTTGACTCTGTTCCTGTCCACCATATGTTTTGGGTGATCCCGCACCTCCCTTGTGGGATGTCACAAGGGGCATAAAGTGCAGGCCCAGGCACTGAAATGCAACAATCTCACCAAAACTGTCTGAAGTTTTATCTCTAAGGATCCTCCAAAACTGAAATATGGTCCTTGGATTATGAAATGCAGTCAGTACCCACCACCTTTACAAACTGTGAAGGCCATACCCCATATATGATATTTTACAATGTTGATATCTCCAGTCATAAATAATATGGTGGCATCTATTACAGGCTGCCTTTATTGGTATTCTTAACAGGAAGTCAGCTGAGTGTCAGAAAAAAGCCTCAGGATGAGACAATAATCTTTAATATCGTCAGTATATATGAGAAAATTCTGCTAGGTTGAGGTGAATCCGGCACAATAGGAAGTAGTGACATTTCATGACTCTACTTCTTTTCTTGAGATAAAGGAAGTGAACGGCTATCATCTGACTTCTCGACATTTCCTTGAGGTTGACGTTCGGTCATGCTAACGCAGCACCACTAAATTTAAAGGCATAGTGCACCTTTTAGAAAAAAGATGAATAGATGCACACAAAAAAAATTAATTTATGATTTTTGTTTACATTGGAGCCTGCAAAGCCTTGCAACCGCGATCAGTTGATCAAAGGTGCAATGCACAAACTCCTGCAGTCTCTTACTTCAGCCCTTGGTCTGTATGGAGGTACAGCACCTTCTGGAATGGTGCTGGAGGAAGTAATCAGTGGACTCCAAGTGCATTGACGTCACAGTTCTCTATTGAGAGCTATGATTTCCTCAGCTGCGGTGGCAAATGGGAAGTGTAGCCTTTCCATTTACAGGTCCTGTGAACGGATCTGTAAATAAATGACGTGGGTGGAGGCTTGCACAGCCATGCCAAATTCTAAACTAAGCAGAAGCCTGCGGGGAAAAGAACCCTGTGATTCCGTCAAGTAGGGGGGTTTGAGGGTGAGGGGCCGGCGAATGTGACTATCTTTTATGCTACACCTTAAGTATGGTTTTAACATAAAACCCCGTCACAAAGGTGGCCTGTTTTTTTTAATAAGCCTGTGAGATCTGGAGCTCTTCTCCAAGATTTCATGTGCAGTGCCCCCTGTTGGCAAGGTGGTAGATCAGCTTTCTTGCTGAGGGTATTCTTACAATGCCTGATAGGACTTGTAGTTCCACAACAGCTGGAATGCCAGGGTTGCCTATCCCTGATACATATTCTATTAATGCATGCAAATATATAATAGCATATTTAAAGAATAAATATATTTAAGTAAATTACAGCTCTTTTTTTTGTATATAGTCGCCGTAATAGTATGTAGAATAACAGGCTAACTTTAGAGAAGCCACAGCAACTTCACTGCGGCTCCGTTCTGGTGCTAGAGGCTCTAGCCCCCCGTTCTCCCCCTTTACACCCTATATGTCTTATAGTTGATACATACCTTCTCTGCACTGCCACGCTACCCAGATGGACAGCAGAGACCCCCGCTTCCTACTTTCTCCCCTTTATACCTCCCAACTACCTCCCTCTCCCCCTCTATTCCTTTCTCACTTGACTGCTCTCGGCCCTGAAAAATGGCCACTCGGTCAACAAGTGCGTTATTACTGGGAGGCTAGGGAGTGTGTCGTGTTTCCCTCCACCCAGAACCACTAGGTATTTGTCAGAGCTTGGATGCCAGGGTGGTAGTGGGGTTCAACCAAGGTAAATACAACTTGCATACTGCGCCTGCTGAAAAGTACATGAAGATGTAAAATAAACATTACACGTTATAGAGCATGACTCATTGCTGGACTCTTCCTGTTTCCCCTTAAATCGCCGTGACACAATATATGAGCTTAGAATCGGCTCTCATGTTCTGCCATATCAGAGTTACTAGAACTTTTCTAAGGCTTTCATGTGCTTTCTCCGACTACTTGCCTGCTAGTATCTGAAAGGGAGATTGATCATACTTTCCAGATTACGCTTTTCTTTCATCTCTAATATTTCTATGCCCATCTTGTTGGCAGTAGATTGCGCTAGTGAAAACTGTTAGAAAACTGCTGGTTAAAGGGAAACTATTGTATGTGTATATATATGGCCCTAGGGATATACCGATACTAGTATTGGTGCCGATACTGAGTATTTGGGCAAGTACTCGTACTCGCCCAAATGCTCCGATGCCTAGCCCGATACCTGAGCTTCTGGTCTTAGGACCATGCTCCCTCGTCACTTGGTATCGAGCATGGAGCCATATCCTGCTGGCTCCCAGATTGGACAGACTGGCCCCTGTTTTCCATATTATTTGTCCTCGCTGATGTACATGTACGTACAACATATTTGCACATTATGGCAGACTTGCCTAACCCAGTGCTCTTCTCCAGCAATGCAATGTCCGTGCTCCCCCTGATCGTTCCTTTGCCACTCTTTGCTCTTCTTCCTCATCCGGAATGTTTGGCCAACCAGAGATGATGTAACTCCTATTCTGCTTGCAAACAATAGCTCTTACTTAGCAGAGGGGGTATGTTAGACCTCTGCAGGAAGACCACTGCTTCTATACAAAGAGCAAGGGTCCTTCTCTGTAGCATTCTGGCCGGGGACAATCTTTTTCCACTCAGGCTGCAAGAGCTATGTGACTTTCCAAACCTTTTGTTTTGACGCACCTAAATGGAATTAAATCTAAATTAAAAATACACTTAATGACTTCTTTCATTAATACAAAACTACATTCATTGGTTTTCTTTTTCATCTGCCTGGAGTTCAGCTTTAATCTCAGACAAGAAGAGCCCTCTCCATGCTGCAGTGGGAGTGAGAAAAGGATAATATTCTTAGTTATATATTTATTTAGTTCCCCCCGAGGAGTCCCCCGTCAGACAGGCCTATGTGCCCTGACAATCTCCTTTAAAAATCAGGAAATCTAGATCGGTGCTCTATTTTCATGACATGACTAACTCAGCATGCGGTAACAAAACAAACGTCAACGGTAGACCGCCATTTGCGTCACACTTCTGCCTTTTCGAGAAGGTTTTTTTGGCAGTCCTGGAATGCCTTGACTGCATTTAGCATTTTCCTCTTATTTCATTAACAATATTATACTGTCTAGCAATGCAACGTTTATTTATAGCCAGGGTTTTTCGGAGAAAATGCTGTTCTGTTATGGTTGGACTGTTTTAGGAATCGTGTATTTTGTTATATTTTTACGGTAAATTTCCATATTGATTGGACTTTTTTTTTTTTTTTTAAAAGAAGAAAAAGGTCTCCACGTTCTATGTACCAAGCCCAACCCTAAAACAATTTCCAGAAATAAAGCGCTCACTTTGTGATAGACCTATTACTGTTTATAGGGTCTACATTCGGGGTAAGCAAACCGTGGCCCTCCGGCTGTAGTGAAATTACAAATCCCATCATGCATCTGCCTCAAGGAGTCATACCTGTGTTTGTAATTGGCCAAGAAGAGATGGGGGGCAGAGATGTGACCACAGTGCTGAAGTCTATTAGACCTGCAGCGCTTACAGACAAAATGGGCCTGGAAGTATGGCAGGAGCTGGCCTTCCATCCACATGCAAAGAAGATGATTTTCAGGGAGGGACGGCAGTGTAGATTATGGCAGATGGCTTTAGAGCAAAGGGACTGTTCAATTTACGTCACTCCGGTAAGCTAGTTGTGCCCGGAGTTGGTCTTTAAATGTTATTTTTGACTGTTGTGTCTTTTATATTGGGCCTGATTGTGCACAATTACCAGCCCAACTTGCTTATATGCACTCCTGCTCCACCACGGGGGGAGTATGTGACCTACTACGAGCATGCGATGCTTGGGCCTGTGCAGCCAATCACCAGGCCCAAACAATGTCACATGAGGTAGGGGGTGACATCATCAACTTAGACATGGAACTTACACAAGGTTTAACTTCTACTGTAAGGGAATGGAGTGTTGGGGAAGGGAAGGTTAGGGGTGGACTAGTTATACCCAGAATGGGCAAAGAAACAGGTTCTCTTTTAATCAATTTGTATATTTTTGGATATGGGTGGAAATGTTTTCCTTTTTAATAAAGACACCAGACAACTTTGACCTGGTATTGCCTAACGGCTATTGCTTGAGGTAAATATTTTGTTCCTTTTTTGAAAATATTTTCTTTCTCCTTCCACAGGTTCACTCATGTCTCTTGAGCGTCAGAGCTGGGAAGGATGGCTGGTTCCAGCTTTATAGCCCAGGGGGTGTCGCCTGCGATGACGATGGAGAACTGTTTGCCAGTATGGTACGTGTCTGCAATAATGTGAGTTTAAATTTCCGCCCACTGCAAGCTTGCTTACTGTGATTGTAGAGCTGAACTCTGGGCACAAAAACGTTCATTTAAATACATCTCTCAACAACCACGAAGGATAGAACCAAATGCCTCTGCAAACCCAGATTTTACCATATACATGTAGCAGTGACATCATCACTATGCTGTACATAACCTGTGCAGAGCTGTGAGAGGGGCCCAGCAGGCTCCAACCACTACAGGTTGCCTGTACAAGACCAGTCACCCTGCACATAAAGAGAGCAGCAATGACTGGTCTTTACTACAGGAAGCTCCTATAGAGAGGAAACGGTTCACACTGGGCTAATGCACAGATCTGGACGAAATACACAAAGCTCACCAAGATTCATATGACTCTTGTATTTAGACAATGTTTGCTTATCCCAGAGTTCAGCTTAAACTTTGTTTCTAGTATGGATGTTTGTAGAAATATGTGTGTTTTTGTGACTTTCTCAGAGAGGTTATCATATTGGAGTATGAAAAGGGGTGCATTTCAGTTTTGGGCAGGGTGAGAAAGAGTTTGTGTCTCCTCTGGAGAGATTTATCTTTGTTTCCTGTTCTAGTGACAATGGTCAGGGGAAGTGAAATCAGGTACACAAGCAATAAACACCCTTCACTCTCTGTAAAAAAAAAAAATGTGACTTTTTTATATCTCTGAAAGGATCTCCCTTTATTTCCTGTCCTGGTGACAACGTAAGATGTCAGCAGAAGTCTCCACAACTGGGGCACAGGCAACAATAGAAGTTCTGGCTCTTCCTTACTCTAAACTTAAAATGCTTACACCTCAAACCCCACCATCACCACCTTCCAAAAAATGATCCCACAATCATTGATGGTCATTGACACCTTAAACCCCACCATCACCACCTTCCAAAAAACGATCCCACAGTCATTGATGGTCATTGACACCTTAAACCCCACCATCACCACCTTCCAAAAAACGATCCCACAGTCATTGATGGTCATTGACACCTCAAATCCCACCATCGCCACCTTCGAAAAAATTATCCCACGATCATTGGTGACCAGTGATACCTCAAACCCCACCATCACCACCTTCAAAAAAGCAATCCCACAATCATTGGTGGCCAGTGACACCTCAAACCCCACCATCACCACCTTCCAAAAAACGATCCCACAGTCATTGATGGTCATTGACACCTCAAATCCCACCATCGCCACCTTCGAAAAAATTATCCCACGATCATTGGTGGCCAGTGATAAGTCAAACCCCACCATCACCATCTTCAAAAAAGCAATCCCACAATCATTGGTGGCCAGTGACACCTCAAACCCCACCAACATTACCTTCAAAAAAAAAAAAAAGGATCCCACAGTCATTGGTGGTCAGTGACACCTCAAACCCCACCAACATTACCTTTAAAAAAAAAAAGGATTCCACAGTCATTGGTGGTCAGTGACACCTCAGGCCCTCACCCCCACCACCTTCAAATAAACGATCCCACATTTACTGGTGGTCAGTGACACCTCAAACCCCACCATCACCTTCAAAAGATCGGTCCCACAATCATTGGTGGTCAGTGACACCTCAAACCCCACCATCACCTTCAAAAAATCGATCCCACTATCATTGGTGGTCAGTGGCACTTCAGACCCTCACCACCACCTTCACAAAATCGATCCCACCTTGATTGGTGGTCAGTGGCACCTCAGACCCTCACCACCACCTTCAAAACATCGATCCCACAATCATTGGCGGTCAGTGGCACCTCAGACCCTTACCACCACCTTCAAAGAAATCGATCCCACAATCATTGGTGGTCAGTGGCACCTCAGAGCCTCACCACCACCTTCAAAGAAATCGATCCCACAATCATTGGTGGTCAGTGGCTTTGTACATCTTGCCTGTGATCTGAGCTGTCCAATGACTCCTCATTTTAAGGCAGGCGTTTAAAGGAAACCTATGCAAACAGAATTATGTAGACTGCAATTGTTGACTTCCTTCTGAACGTGCTAGTTGTCTGGCTGTCTTCGGCATTAATACTTTGTACATCTCTGACCTGGACCTTGCATGCAGAGAGTCAGAACTCCTGATGAGTATACTTGGACCCAGAAAGTACTGAAGTTCTTGGATCAGCATGCCAGTCTACATATTTCACTCAGTAGAGGTTTCCTTTAAGACAGGGCTGAACACAAATCCCAGGAGCCGTGTCACCAATGCTCCTTAAACATTACAGCTGGAGCCTAACTTTTGAGGTTTTTACTAGTTGTTGCCAATGATGCTGGCTCATAAAAAACAAAATCTTACTGGCTCCTGGATTGGACAGACTGGCTTCTGAATTCCATAATAATTTGTCCACCTCTGCTTCAAGGCCGCTAGTATGATGATTACTATCAAGGGAGTAGAATCCTGTGATGCAATCAGGCAGGACGTTGGAATGCTTTTGTGTATTCCTTTCCATGTAAATATGATGTCACTGAATTAAATATATTTCACCGTGAGTCACCTTAGGTTCTAATTATAACCGCTTTTGGACTAGTGGGTAGTGTGAAAGAAGTAACACAGACTCCTAAATGATGGGAATATTTGACACAAAATGCTGCTTTGCTGAAGATGAGCTGCGTAGCGCTGATTCTGCATCTAATATTGCTGTATAAAATAAAACCATTATGATTTTAGAAAATAAAACTACAATTGTTTCAGTTAAAGTAACTTACTTTGTATGACGTGATCCTTCACTTGTTCATATACTTGAGGTGACAGTCTTCTGATCACTCACTCTTAGGTAGGGTAGGTAGATTTTCGAACACATGCTTGTATGAAATATCTTGTCGGAATGTTCAATAATGTTCAATACAGGCAGTCCCTGAGTTACATACATCCGACTTACATACGACTCCTACTTACAAACGGAGGCCATCACTGTACAGCAGGGGTAGTTGTAATACTACCGTGCTCGTGCCGACGAGTATCGCCCGCCTTTTTGGGTCTGGTTTGTAGTACTGTACATACATTACAGGAAGTTGGCTCTTGTTAGGCGTGCAGACGAGGGGTGCCCACCTCTTCTTCCGGGTCACTGTGAGGTTTTTACAGCTGTCTGTATCATCTATAGAAAGATTTAATCTCACTTCCTGTCCTTGAAACAACAGTGAAAGGAAATCTACCCCTAGGAAGGGGAATTCCCTCCTGTAAAAGTGATCATGGGAAAAAGGTGTCTCCACTGAACCTTCATCACCAATCCTTGTTTCCACGACAACCCAAAATTTTCAAAATGCAATTGTCACAGGGACAGAAAGGTGAAATCTTCTGAACAGGGGCACACACAGCAAAACAAACGTTACAGGGGATTAACCGTTCCCTGTGCTATTCCAAGCAAAAACAAAATAATTTTTGTCTAGAGTTTGTTCCAGCTTACATACAAATTCAACTTAAGAACAAACCTACAGATCTTGTTCGTAACCCGGGGACTGCCTGTAATGCCATCAGACACTTGACTTTCGTTTTGATTTAACATTTGATTTGGAATGAAGAGTTTCCCGAAAGTAAACCGCATTCACTGTTAGAATTTTGTTAGAATTTTGTACAATTGAGAAAAATTTTCCCAAATTGCTCCTTCCACTTTTTTCGTCACCGTGGTCCAAATTGATTTGACCTCATCAACTATTAGAACGTTGAATAAACTTTCCAAAATCATTTTTGTTCGTATGAAATTCTATCCGTCTTAAGGGAAACATTGACCAGACAGGTTTTCTCCCCCTTTCCTTCTACAATGACATCAGCCAAGCTGAATGTTCATCGAGCACTCTCACAGCAGACATGTCGGGAGTATCGTACGGTATCATTGCAAAAAAGAATTTCTAACACCAGTTAAATAAAAAAAAACATGGCAAGTTTTATAGTTTCAACAAACTGGTGCTGGTTTCCTCAAACAAAAAATGATGATGTATACAAGAAGGAGAGAGACGGTATACCGGACCTCAGTGATGAATATAAATGACAAAAATCCTTATTGATTCCCTGCAGACAGCAGTCTGTGTTTTCATTACCCAGATGCTTACTAAGGCCAGTAAAGGAAAAATGATTATTTAGACTGGGTTCTAGTAGTAGTAGTAGTACTTTATTGCTGGAAGCATCTGAACCCACGCAAATTCCATGGATTAAATTGCTGCTGTCTTGATTAAACTTTTTTTTTTCTAATTCTGATGCCTGATCACCCAATAGTATTGTTGTTCTATAGGGCTGGACATACAGCTTATTCCTGACTGAAATACTGCAGTAGGAGGTTTGGGGACTTAATGTGCTAAAGAGGACTCTGTTTTATTTTAATGGCATGGCCCTCCTTACCATCTTGTCTTAAATTGTATTGTGACTGTACTGTCTTCCTTATATTGTAAAGCGCTGTGCAAACTATCCTGTATAATAATAATGCTAACAGTTTGAGTTTTGTGATGGAATCATGCCTTTTGTATAACATTTTTATAGCTGAACTCTTTTCTTAAACTTACAGTGGCCCAGCTTGGTTCCAGCATATCATTTTTTATATCTCACATGTGAAGAGCTACTGGGGATGCAGAAATTCTCTGTAGTAAACTGTGTGACATACAGTCACTGCTGGTCTCTTTGGGGTGTTGCTTGACTGTATTTTGAATGCAGAGAGTCGCTCTCTCATTACCTCCCCTATATTCTTCAATTAATATAAAGTGTTCTCTCAAGAGAAGGGGACAGATGATGTCATGATCTCTGCCTCGTCCAATCAGAGAACTCCTTGCATTCATTGAAGAAAATACAACACGTTCTCTGAATTACGGAGGTGCCGCACAAGCGACTCCCTGTGTGCAATGTACAGATGGCAAGTCGCTTATGCAACACCCAAAAGAGACCATCAAGAGACTGTATGTAGCACAGGCACAATGAATGTCAGCATCCCCAGCGCACTCCGGATGTGGGAGGAATTAAATGTAACCAAGCTGGGATAATTTAAGTTTAAAAAAAGATAAATGCCACCCTTTGCAACTGCAGCCGAGGGACTTACAAGTGTGCTTGTAGTCCATTGACACCTCCTCCTGTTAATGTTAATGTTACTGAATGTCCATACCTTGGTACAGAGGAGGAGTCTGCAGGAGCCAGGACATTGCACCCGTGAACCACTGTTTGCAGTTGCAATACTTTACTGGCTCCTATGCAAAAATACTAAATGCACATAAAATAATAAATGCACGTTTTTGCTTTAATGAAGTAGTCTGTGTGTCTGTGTATATGTGATTGATATATATATATATATATATATAAATTTAAAAAAATATTTTTTCCAAAACGAGGAATTCCCCTTTACGTTCCCACCAAAATCCATAAACCTACTGATAGACTAATTGGTTTTTGATGAAACACAATCTAGTGTTTGTGTGTGTAGACATGTATGTCCTTGTTTAATTGTGATAGCGACATAGACCTGTGTACTCTGTAGTGCACATATTGTAAACACTATATAAATATGGAAAGTCGTTCATACAGCACGGCTGCAGATGTATTGTAACTAACGCAGTGCTTTAAAAAAAAAAAACCTCAATGTAGTATATACTGTAGCTTGTCTGAGCTAAACTGTGTGAAGATTTATTTGTCTTTGTATGTGACACCTTCTCTTCTCACGCAGGTTCACATTTTGATGGGCTCCTGTTATAAAACCAAGAAATTTCTCCTGTCGCTGGCAGAGAATAAGTTGGGGCCATGCATGTTGCTTGCCTTGCGAGGAAACCAGACCATGGTGGAGGTACGAGAACTGCCAATGAGCACACATTGGCTTAATGACTTTCAGAAAACAGCACAGATGGCTCCGTGTGCTGTGTATCTGGCAATATTTCCTGTATCCCCACTTATATCTTAGCTGCTCTGCAACTCCTGCTGTAGGAGAGAAAGGCAGGGTACACAGACAGATAAAGGGCTCCGAAATGGGTATTAAAGATTACAGAGCATGGAGACAGGAAGCAACTACAGAAAGGCTCTGTGCTGACGTAAAGCAGACCTTGCACTCACCCATGTGTACAGAGCAACATACTGTACAATGCTTTCCAAAGCCGTCTCATCTCATGTGAGCTGAAAGTATAAAGGGATAGAGCCTATACAGTATACTCACCAAGAAAAAGATACAAAGGCTGGGCATCAATTCTTCTAGAATAGTCACATGACCGGTCTGCATTTCTGTTTAACCCTTTCACTGCCAAGCGCTCTGGAACGCTTTACACCTCAGCTGGCCACACCATTTTTGCAATTTTTCCCATTGTTTTGATTTTCTACTGCTGCGTTGCTAGCATTTGTAAAAGACCCCACAAACCATATATAAACTGATAAAAATACACAATTCCACTGATAAAATCACACTAAAATCATTATCTGTGCACACAAATATTTTCTGACAATCTAAAAGATAAAACCTGTAATGAGTTAATAACCAATATTTGTACATTTTAAATGGCACCTTTTTGCGAAATGGTCAAAAAAAAATCAGATAACGCATAACTGTAAATATGCAACTTGTGTTGAAAATAGTTTGTGTGCTGGTGTGTGTGTGTTGTGATGAAATTATACAGGCGTACATTTAATCGCAACACAGTGTATCACAACGCACGGCAATGCGTCACAACGGCTTTACAGCACAATGATCTTATGTAGGCTCTATCGTGTTTTCATGATCAGCCTTTAGTCACTTGAGCACTTCAAATAACAGCCAGTTGTCGCTTGCTCCAAGACTGTGTGTGTGTGTTCTTATTCCTGTAACTGTCTAGAACATGTGCTCTTTTCCAATTTTGTCGCCCCTTTTGCATTGCATCTCAGTAACAAGACTCTAAGCTTTCTGCACAAACAATCCCATCTGTGTGGTGTCATGCGTGCCTGCCAGGAAATGCCCATAGACTCCTGCTAGGTTAACCAAGCTGTCCGTCAAGACACAGAGTTTGGGTGAAGGTCCAGGCACATACTTTTGTCTAGACTCTGGCAGCCTCTGATTTGCATATTAGGTGATTTCCCGTCGGCAGCCAGCAGAAAGAAACAAGAAAAAAAAAATGGGTTTGTTTTGTTTTATCGCAATTGTTATTGATTGGCATCATTTTGATTAGCCTTGAGCTCACTTTGAAATTCTCCTGTTGTGGTTTTCAGATCCTTTGTCTGATGCTGGAATACAACATCATAGAAAACAATGACACACAGCTGCAGATCATATCTACCCTGGAGAGTACAGATGTAGGAAAGAAAATGTACGAGCAGCTTTGCGACAGACAGCGGGAACTGAAGGAGCTGGTAAGTTCTGCGTTTCTCTGGAAACGCCTGGTACATAATATCCGTTACTGAGCCGAGCGGCTCTTCATCATCCTGACCATAATGCGTGCCGAGCACAGCCCGGGGCCCCCCCACACACTGCCAGAAGCCTTCCGATTGGCTGACAGAGCACCCAGAGAGGCTCCCTGGACAGCATCAGAGCGCTAGCCGCAGCTCCCTCCCGCCAGCCCACCTGTCTGTGGCTACCTGGACGGCAGAACGGACAGCTGCAGCCAAGTAAGACATCCCCCGAAAATAAGACCTAGTGTCTTTTTTCGTAGAAAAAAAAATATAAGACACTGTCTATTTTTGGGGAAACACGGTATATATTTTCTATGGGGAGGACTATGGTGTTTAATAGGAGAACATAGAGTCAGTTATTAATAGGTGGAGGAGGATGGATCACATACAGCAGATGTAGAAATCAACCTGTAATGCAGCCATCACAAGGGGCAACAATGCAGTGGGCCCAGTTCACAACATTACACAATTCTCCACTTGTTCCAGTGACAACTGTCTAAAAGGGGATTTATCTCACATTGGAAAGATGTCCTCTCACTCTTTGTTGAGTCTTCAGGACAGTAAGTGAAGTGACATTTCCCAAATGAGACATATTTGGCAACAAGACAACAGTCTTAACCCTCCCCTACTGTATCCAAAATTATGTTTTGGCTTTAGCTATTAAAGTATATCTAAAGCCAACAATTAATTTCGGATACAGTAGGGGAGGGTTAAAACTGTAATAAGATGACATGACTGCCTACTAAAATATAATATTTTGTTACTTTGTTATATATGTCACTTTTTGTTGGCCATGATAAAAAATAATTATAAGCAATTGAATAGTCCTTTAGATTACTTTTTTTATATATATATATATATATAATCATTTGCAGTATTTTTTAATATTTCTTGTCTTGACTGTTTTATTCATTGCTCCTACAGCAAAGAAAAGGAGGTCCCACTCGCCTAACACTGCCATCCAAGTCCACAGTAAGCATTTCTTATTTTGGGTTTCAACTGCAGCTACATTTTTAGTAACCTGTAACCTATAGCCAGTAGCAGGAGATCAGCCACATCAAAGCCTAAGAAGGGATGTTAATTAAAGCAACTATGTCACCATCTTTCTAGACAAC